CCCCCCTCGCCCCGACAGTGCACTTGCCCTCCCTGCACTGCACCCCCTGCTCCCTAGGCCGGGCATGTCCCTCCTGTTGCCCTTGCCAGGTGGGTGCTTCCTCTTCTCTTCTCTGTGCTGCTCCTCTCTCTGCCCAGCAGCCTCTCCCCCATCCACCTCCTGCTGGGAATCACCTCCCGGGTGGCCTACGACACAGTCTGCCCTCGCTGCCTGCTTTGCCTCTGCCCTCACCCCAGCTCCTCCGCCTGCCCCAGTTCTCCTCCCTTCCCTGCACCTCCTCCACCTCCAGCCCCTGGGCCAGAGCTGCACCTGCTGCCCTTCTCCCCACGTCCTTCCCCCCCGCCCTCCCCCCGCCCCCCCCCCCTGCCCCAGTTCTCCTCCCTTCCCTGCACCTCCTCCACCTCCAGCCCCTGGGCCAGAGCTGCACCTGCTGCCCTTCTCCCCACACCTGCTGCCCCCTGGCATGAGCCCTTGCCCCTGCCTGTGTCAGGGACTGGGGGCCTGTGGGTTCTGGCTCGGGGATGGCATTATCGGGGGACCCCTCCCTGCTATAACACCTGAACTTCCCTCGCCTGCCCACTCTATCAGCTGGTGCCCTGGCCTAGGCTCCCTGTCTGAGCCGGGGAGGGGGAGCACAGGTTATACCGCCAGCAACCTTCTCATCCCTGGGAGGCTGCTCTCCCTGCACCTCATGCCCTGCACCCATCTACCTGCCCACGGGTGACTCTAGGCTTCTGGCTTCAGTGTGAGTGCGAGTGAATGGGATCCTTAAGGACCATGGGACCTGCGCCCGAGGGGAGCCAGCTGCCTGGCTCCTGGATGAACTGCAGGGCTCAGCACCCATCAGGGCCAGTGTGGTCGCTGCTACGCAGGGTGCTCGGAGCTGGCCTGGCTAGTGGCAATATGGGCCCTGTGAGTAGTAGGAACCGGGCTGTGGGGAGAGATGACATTCCCAGCTCTCTAAAGGTGACTCCCATTTTTACTGCAGCCGAATTGTCCTTCATAGGCAGCCGGTCTCTGGATTCAATTAGGAGCCTCGATGCTTTCCCTCCCCCGGTGCCCAGTGTCAGTGAATTAAGCCTGCACCCAGCATTTCAGTTCCCGGGGAGAGCAAATGTGGAGTCCCAGGGCTCCGATGGGACGGTGAATAGACCCTGACTCTGCGAAGGTTTGTGCGCACGCAGCGTCGTATGCAAGCCCCTAGGTCTTTGCAGGTTCAGGACCTGAATGGGGACCAGCAGCTGCATCTTGGCTATAGGGAAACAAGCGTCCAGTGACTGGCGAGCCCCACGGAGGCGATCTTTAATCTGGTGGCACAGGCGGGACCCAGTGGAAAGTCACATGTTCCCACAAAATCTCCTTTGACTTTTGGGTCGAGTCCAGCTCTCTTGGTTCCTGGTGTCGGCGGCAGGTTGCAAGGCAGACCAGGGGCTTCTCAGCATTTTACAGGGAAGTAAAATGCAAAGCCGTTCGAAAGCCAGGAAAACTTCTCCGGCAGGCCCCGAGATCAAAGCCTGACATCAGCTGGGATTCCCAGGAACCATGTAGCCAGCCCAGCCCCGAGCAAGAGAAGAGCAGCGAGGAGGTGGCTTAGGGTGTCTTTACAGATCACTGTTGCAACCACTGTTATACGTTTGCAACTACGATCTGTAAAGACCTCTCACAACCCAGTAACTTCGCAGTTGTTGGCTGCCTTCTGCGCTCCAGACAGGTTTGGCGACAGGGTGCTGGGCAGCTCTGAAAATCAGACTCCAGCTGTGTGAAGGGTGAATTTTTCACACTCCTAGGCTGAGGGGAGGGGCTCTCTTGTCAGCACGGGGGCTCCACTTTCCTGAAAGGCAGGAGCTAGATGGCTGGGAGAATTCACCCATCAACATAGCGCTGTCTGCATAAGAGGTTAGGTGAGTTTACCTGTGTCGCTCAGAGGTGTGAATATTTCACACCCAACAGCAACATAGCTCCCAATCTCACTTCCTAGCATAGACCAGACCAAGGATGACCTGGGTGTTATGTGTGGAGCGGGGCTGCAGCACCCAAAATCACTGGTCCCTGCTAGCAACGATGACCCAAATTTGTCTCGTTTGACTAAGTGGATCTGAGCCTGATGCTGAGGTCCAGGGGAGTTTTGCCTCTGTGGTGTTTTATTTATTTGGTTTCTTACCTGGCCCATCACCATAGTATCAGGGCACTCCTTGAAAACACACACACCCCATAGTGAAGGGCATAAATATCAAGGAAAGAGCAGAATTATCAAGCTTGGCAGAAGGTGGCAAAAGCGCTAGGGGGAACTGGATGAAATGAAGAACATGTCGGCTACGTCTACACTGGCACCCTTTTCCGGAAATGCTTAAAACGGAACAGTTTTCCGTTATAAGTATTTCTGGAAAAAGCGCGTCTACATTGGCAGGATGCTTTTCCGGAAAAGCACTTTTTCCGGAAAAGCATCTGTGGCCAATCTAGACGCGTTTTTCCGCAAAAAAGCCCCGATCATCATTTTCGCGATCGGGGCTTTTTTGTGGAAAACACTGCTGTGCTGTCTACACTGGCCCTTTTCCGGAACAGTTTTCCAGAAAAAGGACTTTTGCCCGAACGGGAGCAGCATAGTATTTCCGGAAAAGCGGCTGATTTCTTACAGTAGATCGTCAGTGCTTTTCCAGAAATTCAAGGGGCCAGTGTAGACAGCTGGCAAGTTATTCTGGAAAAGCGGCTGATTTTAAAGTTTTTCGGGAAAGGTGGCTGTTTTTCCGAAATAAGTGGCCAGTGTAGACACAGCCGTAGGGTAAGTAGCAGGAAAACGGCCTAAGATTGTGGAATATTATCCCCATTGAAAGGGGCCCACTTTCAAATTGGATGGGATGAAGCATGCGAAAATATAGGGTGCAGCCCTGCCTAAGTTGAGGGAATTGGACCAATGGGTGTTTTCCATTTCTATGCACAGTGGAAAGTATCCTGCGTGCAGAGCGTGGGGACATCTCCTTGCCAGGGGTCTCACTTCCCTCCCAAGATCTGACGATGGCTAAGACATTTAGGCAGTGATCTGCCTGTCCATGGCGCTCCCTTGCCCCATTCCTGTAGTCTGTGAGTCAATGTATCTGTCCTCACGGCATCCCTCTCTGGCAGAACAGTGCTGTTATCTCAGTGCCTGGATGGCGAGCTGATGCCCAGAGAGGTTAAAGCCCAAAGCCTCCAAGGTATGTAAGTGCCTAACAGGAGGATCTAAGTGACACACCCAAGGTCACACAAGGAATCTGTGGCACAGCAGGGAATTGAAGCAAGAGTTTCCTAGGTCCCAGGTTAGCATCCCACTGCCTCTGTTAGATGTAGCCTTTCCCCTTCCCCTTCTGGTGGGCTGGGGTAGGGCTCCAAAGTCCCTGATTTTGCTTCTGTTTGGGTTTCAGAGCCAGGACTGGGGTAAGAATGATGAGAAGCTCCTACAAGCTGTGGACTACAATGACCCCGAGAAGGTGTCATCTTTGCTCCTGCGCAAGGGCCTGGTCCCCACCAAACTGGACTCGGAAGGCAAATCTGCGTGAGTCCCCTGCTCAAATGCCTAGACCAGAGTCTCTGTTCCCCATCCCTGGGCTTGAGGTGATAGCTTTAAGGTACTGCTATACTCCCCTCCCTAGCATAGGGCCTGCCGGGGCTGTGGTGTACACGAGAGCAACCCCCAGGCTGCTCTCACACCTGCTTTGCTTCCCACAAGTGTCCGTATGGCAGGGGTGGCCAACCCATTCTGGACAAAGAGCCAAAATAGCAGTGGATACAGTACGAAGAGCCGGGGCAAAGTTGTTGAGCAAAAAAGGAAGCCTCCCCAGAGTTGTTGAGCAAAAAAAAAATGCTCCCAGCAGTTGCCCCCATTTTGAATGGCCGCACCAGATGGCTCCCCTGCCCCGCAAAATAACAGAAAACGTTTAGTGCTTCTACACCGAAACTTCAGTACAAACTTAACTGCGAACTCACCCTAAAACTGGTTCTTTCCTGGCCAAGCCTTGCAGACCAGAGCCATCTTCTTTCCCCCTGCCTTGGGTGTCCCAGCCAAAGACTTCTCCTTTCCTAGGCTGTGTCTACATTGGCACCAGAGAGCCGGGAGGTGGGGGCCGTTTTCAGGGGCACTGGGGCGGCTTTGCAAGCTGCACTTTCGGGGGGGGGGGAAGAGCCACAGGTTGGCCAACCCTGCTGTGTGGTAACAAACCCGTGGGTGCGGCCAAGAGTACTGACCACCCGACAAAAACAAACCAGGGAAGAGCTTGGCAAAGGAACAGATTAGTAAGGCGCTTGGGGGAGTTGGTTAAGGATTTCTTGTAAATACAGAAGCTTCTCGCACTCTAGCCTTTCAAGCAGCCTCCGGGTGGTGGCGGGAGGGGTCTTTGGAGGATGAATGGTGACGGGCTGCCCGCTTGTGCCACAGGTTCCACCTGGCTGCAATGAGGGGGACCGTGGACTGCCTGGAGGTGATGCTCGCTCATGGAGCCGACCCCCTGGTCACAGACCGCTCAGGTAGGCAGCACAGTCCAACTCCGCTCTGACGTGACGTGGCGGTGGGGCATTGACTTGAGCCATTAAGGACAAAGCATCCTGCAGGGACCACTCCTGTGTTGCCCACGGGGCGTGAGTGAAATGGGACCTAAGAGATCTCTGCCCGCTCTCATTTTCTGTGTTTCCCAACCATAGGATCAAACCCATTCCAGGAGCCCCCTCTAATTCGCAGGGTGGCAGGCTCCTCTGACATCCAAGTGTAGTCCCGTCTTCATTGTTCTCCTGGTCGTTCACCAGCCTCCCCCGGCACAAAAGGAGCGGACGGCTCCAAATCCCTGTAATCTCTGACACAGCCGATGGATAATCTTGGTGATCCTTAGAAAGAAGGTGGCAAAGCCGCTCAGCTTTCTTACTTTAAAAACTCCCCTGGGGGCTTGAGCAGAGCACGGGCTAACGGGGGGATGAAAAAGCTTGTGTCGGTCAGAACTTGGCCCGGTGTCGGGATCCTGTATTCTCCCACAGTCCTAACCTGAATGGTTAGTGCAGGAGCCCAGTCCTGGGCGGAGAAGCATCATCACTCGCTTGTTAATTGCGGACGAGGTTCTGGCCGTGGTGTGTAGCAGGCATGTCTGGTACTGACTGTTCCCAAATATGAGTGTGTGCTGTTGTGTTCCTAGGAGGAGGCCCCACAGGTGCTCTCTGTTTCAGATTCAAAATAAAAATGGCCGTAATATTTTACACCAGGGGTGGGGAACCTTTTTTTGGGTCGGGGGCCGCTGACCCACCGAAAAATCAGTCGGAGCTGCACACACATGAGAAGCAAAAACGGACATGGCCCCCAACTGAGAAGGAGATAAGACACTCCCCGCGTACCCCTCACATGCCAGAGCTTGGGGGCCCCCAGGCTAGTCGATTTGTGTGCTCCAGCCCCATGGGGAGATGGCAGGGTGGGGGGACTGGAGTGCCAGAACAGGTTCCCCAATGCTGGGGAAGCAGGACCTCAGCCTCAGGGGCCGGATCCAGGCAAGCTGGGGGCCGCATTTGGCCCCCAGGCCTTAGGTTCCCCACCCCTGTTTTACACGACAGGGGCCACTCCCCTGAAATCCTGCAGCCTGTTTGTGCTGGGCTTTTGTTGAGTTTCACAAGCTAAGCAAGGTGTGGTCAGTTTGCGCTTTGGATGGGAGACCTCCGTGGGCACTGGGATGTATCAGGAAAGGGATGTTGGTGATTCTGTGAGTGGTGAGCGTTTTTTTCCCAAGCTGATATAAAGTTGGGTGCTAGCGGGCGCCGTGCAGCTGGGTTTGCTATCATTTGGCTCCTGACCACATATGGTGATTCCAGATCTGACGTCCATGGTGCTTTTTATTACACTAGGAGAGCTGGTTTGATGAGATAACATGATCTTGGTAACTAATTGACCATTCATTATCAGTGGGAAATAGGTCAATGGAGGGATGATAGGAGTTACTATAGAGACCTTTCTGGGTGTCTGGCTGATGAGTCTTGCCCACATGCTCAGGGTTTAGCTGATCACCATATTTGGGGTCGGGAAGGAATTTTCCTCCAGGGTAGATTGGCAGAGGCCCTGGAGGTTTTTCGCCTTCCTCTGTAGCATGGGGCACAGATCACAGCTGGAGGACTCTCTGCATCTTGGGGCCTTAAAGTATTTGAAGGCTTCAATATCTGAGAGATAGGTGAGAGGATTATTCTAAGAGGGGTGGGTGAGATTCTGTGGCCTGCACTGTGCAGGGGGTCAGACTAGATGATCATAATGGTCCCTTCTGACCTTAAAGTCTATGAGTCTATGAGAAGGAAGCAGACACGTTTCACAGAACACTGGGTCAAAATCCCAATTTTCCACTGACCAAGAGTTTAGATGGAAACCGTCTGACCAGGCCTATGGGGATTTCACTTGCAGATGGCAAAATGCCAACCTCCTCCTTGGCAAAGTAGGTTGTGAAGACCAGGACTTTAACAGGGTTCAAGAAAGAACTAGATACATTCATGGGGGTTAGGTCCATCAACACTTATTAGCCAGGATGGGTAGAAATGGTGCCATTAGCCTCTGTCAGAGCTGGGAATGAGTGACAGGGGAGGGATTGCTTGATGATTCCCTGTTCTGTTCACTCCCTCTGGGGCTTCTGGTGTTGGCCGCTGTCAGAAGACAGGACCCTGGGCTAGATGGACCTTTGTTCTGACCTAGCCTGGCCGTTCTTATAACCCTGCCTAGGTTGTTCCTTAGACTTAAAGAATCCTGTACACCCAGGATCTTCTGCAAGTGAACCCCAAGAGGGCTGAAGCCTGCTACTTTCTCCCCAAGCTCCCTGTACCCCCCAACCTTTCTCCAGCCCTTGGTGCTTCAGCACCAAGAATGGACAACACATTTACGACGGACCTTCCTTCCCCGTCACGCTTTATGAAATGGATTTACGGCCACGAATGCACATCGCTCAAAAGTGCTTTGTAACCCCTCAACCTTTATGTTATAATCCGCTGGGATTATGTTTATGGTTTTTAAATGTGTGAATGAGAGCCAGCATGGGTGTCAGTCATCAAAACATTGAAGGTAATCGTTAAACAATCTCTTTTGTCCTTTAAGTCTTAGCAGTGGTTGGTCTGGGGAAGTCACTTCCACCCCAACCGGTCAGGTAACTTCCCATGCAAAAAGGGAATCTTTAAAAACAATAGGGCTGTGTCTACATTGGCATCCCTTTCCGGAAAAGGGATGCTAATGAGACACTTCGGAATTGCAAATCCGCGGGGGATTTAAATACCCCCGCGGCATTTGCATTTACATGGCTGCTGCTTTTTTGCGGCTCGGGGTTTTTGCCGGAGAAAAGCGCCAGTGTCGACGTGATTCTCCGAAAAATAAGCCCTTCTCCGGATGATCCCTTATTCCTTCTTTGCAATTCCGAAGTGTCTCATTAGCATCCCTTTTCCGGAAAGGGATGCCAATGTAGACACAGCCCTATTGTTTTTAAAGATTCCCTTTTTGCATGGGAAGTTACCTGACCGGTTGGGGTGGAAGTGACTTCCCCAGACCAACCACTGCTAAGACTTAAAGGACAAAAGAGATTGTTTAACGATTACCTTCAATGTTTTGATGACTGACACCCATGCTGGCTCTCATTCACACATTTAAAAACCATAAACATAATCCCAGCGGATTATAACATAAAGGTTGAGGGGTTACAAAGCACTTTTGAGCGATGTGCATTCGTGGCCGTAAATCCATTTCATAAAGCGTGACGGGGAAGGAAGGTCCGTCGTAAATGTGTTGTCCATTCTTGGTGCTGAAGCACCAAGGGCTGGAGAAAGGTTGGGGGGTACAGGGAGCTTGGGGAGAAAGTAGCAGGCTTCAGCCCTCTTGGGGTTCACTTGCAGAAGATCCTGGGTGTACAGGATTCTTTAAGTCTAAGGAACAACCTAGGCAGGGTTATAAGAACGGCCAGGCTAGGTCAGAACAAAGGTCCATCTAGCCCAGGGTCCTGTCTTCTGACAGCGGCCAACACCAGAAGCCCCAGAGGGAGTGAACAGAACAGGGAATCATCAAGCAATCCCTCCCCTGTCACTCATTCCCAGCTCTGACAGAGGCTAATGGCACCATTTCTACCCATCCTGGCTAATAAGTGTTGAAATCAAAGATCAATCAAAGACCTGATCTGTTGCACTTTTATAATTAAGGCCCTATCGTATTCACAGCTGTGAAAAACATGCCACAGACCGTGAAATCTGGTAGGGCCCTATTTATAACACAGTAACATTGTAAACAATTAGCTGAGTCATCTGCTTATCAGGGGGTTCATTCAGACCTCTTCTCTTTGTACTTGAGGGTATGTCTACACTACCCCAGCTGCACACACATGAGAAGCAAAAACGGACATGGCCCCCAACTGAGAAGGAGATAAGACACTCCCCGCGTACCCCTCACATGCCAGAGCTTGGGGGCCCCCAGGCTAGTCGATTTGTGTGCTCCAGCCCCATGGGGAGATGGCAGGGTGGGGGGACTGGAGTGCCAGAACAGGTTCCCCAATGCTGGGGAAGCAGGACCTCAGCCTCAGGGGCCGGATCCAGGCAAGCTGGGGGCCGCATTTGGCCCCCAGTTGCCAAGGAGGAGGTTGGCATTTTGCCATCTGCAAGTGAAATCCCCATAGGCCTGGTTACACGACAGGGGCCACTCCCCTGAAATCCTGCAGCCTGTTTGTGCTGGGCTTTTGTTGAGTTTCACAAGCTAAGCAAGGTGTGGTCAGTTTGCGCTTTGGATGGGAGACCTCCGTGGGCACTGGGATGTATCAGGAAAGGGATGTTGGTGATTCTGTGGGTGGTGAGCGTTTTTTTCCCAAGCTGATATAAAGTTGGGTGCTAGCGGGCGCCGTGCAGCTGGGTTTGCTATCATTTGGCTCCTGACCACATATGGTGATTCCAGATCTGACGTCCATGGTGCTTTTTATTACACTAGGAGAGCTGGTTTGATGAGATAACATGATCTTGGTAACTAATTGACCATTCATTATCAGTGGGAAATAGGTCAATGGAGGGATGATAGGAGTTACTATAGAGACCTTTCTGGGTGTCTGGCTGATGAGTCTTGCCCACATGCTCAGGGTTTAGCTGATCACCATATTTGGGGTCGGGAAGGAATTTTCCTCCAGGGTAGATTGGCAGAGGCCCTGGAGGTTTTTCGCCTTCCTCTGTAGCATGGGGCACAGATCACAGCTAGAGGATTCTCTGCATCTTGGGGCCTTAAAGTATTTGAAGGCTTCAATATCTGAGAGATAGGTGAGAGGATTATTCTAGGAGGGGTGGGTGAGATTTTGTGGCCTGCACTGTGCAGGGGGTCAGACTAGATGATCATAATGGTCCCTTCTGACCTTAAAGTCTATGAGTCTATGAGCTACCCCTCGATTCCTAGTCACATTTCAGCTTGGTAAATTACATTGTCTTCCTGCTTTTCTTGTAGAGTTCTTACTGGATAGAGGAGTCCCCCTTTCTCAAGCCACCACATAGTGATTCAGGGATCTGTTGTGTCCTGCCCCAGAGAAAGATGCAGTTTGGTGGTGGGTGATGTGATCTAGGGATATTGATGACCTGCCTTACGTAGGGACGGGTTGAGAGTAAATTGCTTAATGCTGACGATTTTTTTTTAATTTCCCTGGGTGCATGTGTACAGTATCACCATCACTACTGTCACATCCTGACCTGCCAGTCTGTCTCTTCCCAGGGTACAATGCGCTCCACCTGGCGGCAAAACACGGCCACCCACAGTGCGTGAGCAAACTGTTGCAGGTAAGGCAGCAGGCAGGAGCAGTCGGAGCAGAGGAAAGTTGTGATGGGGTGAAGGTCACAGATGACCTCTTGGGGTGATTCCTGGGGGTCTGACAACTGCACTGCCACCCTCCTTTTTGCTCTCTGGGGCTTCTCGTCACCCTGTCCTGCCGGGCCAGCTCCCTGGTCTCCCCCAGCCAAGGCACAGAGCTGAGAATCACACCCTCTTCCCCTCCCCCCTCAGAAGCAGTGTCAACACTGAATCACTTCAGGTCTGAGGAAAATGCAGTTTTGGGCCCAGCTTCCTGGGATACAACTCCCCAAATGGGATCAACCCCCCCCCCCAATTATTTGTGTCAGCCCCTTTTAATAATGGATGTATAAAACCAAAAAATGGTAGGGGGAATCTTGTTCCCATTAATTCAATGTGACTTCTGGCATTTACTTCAGTGGAGCCAAGATTTCACTGTTTTTGCAAATGGCCAATAGCAGAGAGCTTGCTTAAAGACTGTGGTAACCACTACGCATGACTCCTGGTACTGTTCACGCTTTCTTGTGTTTGCAGGGGCAACTTGGAAAGGAAAAAAAGTAATGGATACATTAAACTGAAGTCTTGAACTGTGGATAAATTAGGTGAAAAAAGTGTGTATTTGTCTCATATATTCTATGGCTGTGTCTACATTGGCATCCCTTTCTGGAAAAAGGATGCTAATGAGACACTTCGGAATTGCAAGTCCGCGGGGGATTTATATATCCCCCGCAGCATTTGCATTTACATGGCTGCCGCTTTTTTCCGGCTCGGGGTTTTTGCCGGAGAAAAGCGCCAGTGTCGACGTGATTCTCCGAAAAATAAGCCCTTCTCCGGATGATCCCTTATTCCTTCTTTGCAATTCCGAAGTGTCTCATTAGCATCCCTTTTCCGGAAAGGGATGCCAATGTAGACACAGCCCTATTGTTTTTAAAGATTCCCTTTTTGCATGGGAAGTTACCTGACCGGTTGGGGTGGAAGTGACTTCCCCAGACCAACCACTGCTAAGACTTAAAGGACAAAAGAGATTGTTTAACGATTACCTTCAATGTTTTGATGACTGACACCCATGCTGGCTCTCATTCACACATTTAAAAACCATAAACATAATCCCAGCGGATTATAACATAAAGGTTGAGGGGTTACAAAGCACTTTTGAGCGATGTGCATTCGTGGCCGTAAATCCATTTCATAAAGCGTGACGGGGAAGGAAGGTCCGTCGTAAATGTGTTGTCCATTCTTGGTGCTGAAGCACCAAGGGCTGGAGAAAGGTTGGGGGGTACAGGGAGCTTGGGGAGAAAGTAGCAGGCTTCAGCCCTCTTGGGGTTCACTTGCAGAAGATCCTGGGTGTACAGGATTCTTTAAGTCTAAGGAACAACCTAGGCAGGGTTATAAGAACGGCCAGGCTAGGTCAGAACAAAGGTCCATCTAGCCCAGGGTCCTGTCTTCTGACAGCGGCCAACACCAGAAGCCCCAGAGGGAGTGAACAGAACAGGGAATCATCAAGCAATCCCTCCCCTGTCACTCATTCCCAGCTCTGACAGAGGCTAATGGCACCATTTCTACCCATCCTGGCTAATAAGTGTTGATGGACCTAACCCCCATGAATGTATCTAGTTCTTTCTTGAACCCTGTTAAAGTCCTGGTCTTCACAACCTACTTTGCCAAGGAGGAGGTTGGCATTTTGCCATCTGCAAGTGAAATCCCCATAGGCCTGGTCAGACGGTTTCCATCTAAACTCTTGGTCAGTGGAAAATTGGGATTTTGACCCAGTGTTCTGTGAAACGTGTCTGCTTCCTAGGGAAAAAATGTTTGGGTTTTTGTGTGTGTAAAAAACCCGGAATCCTTCAAAAACCAAAATATTTTGATAGGGATGTACTGCCACAGTGCCTCGTGGGAGTTGTAGTTCCGTTGCGTCATGTCCGTACTCTCTACAGCATGAGTTCCTTGGCCAAATAGGTCTCCCTTAATGCACTGTGGGAACTCCCATGATGCATCTGCTTCCCCTCTCCCAGAAGGGAGACCAAAGAGCATTATGGGAGTTGTAGTCTGGCCAGGGAGTCCTACCTATAGAGGAGAATGCGAGCCTGGGCACCCAAACTACAATGTCCGTGACGCATCATGGCAGCATTTGAAACCGTTCAGTTTTTCAACCAAAACCTTTCAGTGTGCACATTTTTGGTTAAAAAAAAAAATCAACATTTTTCATGGGGGGGGGGGGGGGGTCTGGTGGCCCCCTGGTCTGTTTGGTCTGCTCCAGAGGTTATTGCATGAATAGGCCGGCAAGACAGAGTATAGGTCAATACATCCCCCCCTCCAGCCTCTCTCTTCTGCCTCCCCTATGGAACCCAGCTCTGAATGATTGGACTCAGCAGGAGTCTGTTGCTTAGCATTACAGTGCAGGCAACTGCCCAGAAAGGGAACCTTGATCCTGGCCAGATAACCTTCCTTTTGTGGGTGACTTTCAGACAGTACATTGCTGAACCAGCCCAAGATTTGCTAAAGGTGTCACCTCCAAGCAGCTGTGCCTATGAATGAGGGGAAGGCACTGGAGTGTAGTTGAGAGTAAAAGTGGGGAAAGGGAGTTTATCCACTTCTCATATGGGGAACATGGTTCTTAGAGAAGAAACAGGCGACCCGGGAGCAGATGGGGTAAACAGAACTTCTTTATCGCCATTCACTTTTACCTCGGACATTCAGCACAATCCGAGTGGCAACAAATTGGCACCAATCACACTTTTTCATCTATTTTAGTATGTTCATGCACACGTCTATCACTACTTTTCTTAAACCCTTATGAATATTAATAAGCAGGCAATTAATATTATTATACCCACCCCTGATTACTACTTACAAACTCTCTAATTAAATTAACACTTTCCTATGCTACAAACTTTCTGAATCAGCAGGTTACAGAGATTACAAGACTGCACTGCCACCCTCCTTTTTGCTCTCTGAGAAAAGTAACCCCAAAATATTTATGCAGCACCAGTGAGGGTAGGTAAAAGACACAACTGTCCCAGGGCATGGCTTTTTTGGGCTCTTCCCCTCCCCCCTCAGAAGCAGTGTCAACACTGAATCACTTCAGGTCTGAGGAAAATGCAGTTTTGGGCCCAGCTTCCTGGGATACCACCCCCCAAATGGGATCAACCCCCCCCCCCCAAATGGGATCAACCCCCCCCCCCCAATTATTTGGGTAAGCCCCTTTTAATAACAAAAGGGGGAATGCACACACTGATTGCTCCCCTGGGTAATAATTATTTACATTGGGTCAGATGGGAAACAAAAGTGATTTTATTAAGTACAAGCAGTAGGATTTAAGAGGCAAGAAGTGAGAACAGGCAGAGCAAACTAGATTACAAACGCAAAATAACAGAAAACGTTTAGTGCTTCTACACCGAAACTTCAGTACAAACTTAACTGCGAACTCACCCTAAAACTGGTTCTTTCCTGGCCAAGCCTTGCAGACCAGAGCCATCTTCTTTCCCCCTGCCTTGGGTGTCCCAGCCAAAGACTTCTCCTTTCCTAGGCTGTGTCTACATTGGCACCCCTTTCCGGAAAAGGGATGCTAATGAGACACTTCGGAATTGCAAAGAAGGAATAAGGGATCATCCGCTTATTAGTTCCAGTTAGTTTACCTGTGACTTTCTGGGTGCCGGAATTCGATGTTCTTGTGGCTCACATCCCTGTCACCAACAGACAAACATGCAGGTCACACCCTGACTTCCATTGCTCCATCAGAGTGACCCCAATACGCCCCAGTCCTGCATTTCCCCCCAAACCGCCTGCCTCTGTAGAATCTAGCCCTCTCCTGGGAGACACAGAGGGTATTAAATGTATTGTCCCTTTAAAGAGACAGCTTGTTAATTGAACTGGGGTTTGACAAACACTCGGATTTCAATCCCAGCGCTGAATCGGTTTACAGTAAAATGAGGGTATTAAACAGCCAGAGGCTTGTGTGATCCCAAATGTAAGGGGGCCTGATAGAAAGGATTACAAATGAGCAGCAGTAAAAAATACGCCTTTGACTAAAACTTGATTTGAGAAATGTACAGTCTTGGCCTAAGTAGGTTTCTCACTCAAAGCTAGTTCTCAGACACATCAGCCCCTGGGTGGAAGGACCAAACCTTCTGTGATTTCAAGAGCTCTGGTCCCTTGAATCCTCCAAGTGATGGGCCATTGTGGGATTTGCTCTGCTTTCTTTTTATCGCCCAGGAAACCCAGGCCTGCCAGTGGGGAAGGTGGGGAGCAAAAAGGGCAACTGCCCCGATTCAAAAGGGTCCAGGACTCCTGGCTGCTGCTTCTGGTTCTGGCCCCAAACCCCATCCCTTCCACCTGAGGTCCCGTTCCTTCCAGGAGCACGGAGCTGGTGCCCCCCACCCTTGCCTAGGGGCCCAGCAATTCTATGGACGCAGAAGAGTGTTTTTTTCTAAAGAAGAGGCCTCCAGGAAAAAGCACGGGTGCCCTGGTAGCCACTCCATCCACAATAATCACAACTGAAATGCAAGATAGCG